TTTTTTGTATAATCCGGGCTGGGAAAATTTTTGGAATTAAGGGGCCAGACACGATTTTGCTGGTTAAAGGTTTATCTAACCTTTACCTTCAAGGTAGCGACCCAAATTGTTTTGCGCGCCAAAAAGTCGTCTTTAAGAACTCAATAATTTGGGGATATTTTTTGGGGAATAGTTAAAAAATTTCCCACTTTTTAAATTTTGAAGTTTATTGACACAATTTTGCTTCAAGGTCATGCTTTTGACCTTTGGGCCTTCAAGTTTAAAGACCCAAATGTTTCCCCGACACGTCATCTCAATTTTGGTTTATCATTTCTTTTAAAAAAGTTTTAAAAAAAAGGCTTCAAAATAAATTTTTTGAGCCAACACAAAAATTTTGGGGCATTACGGAAAGGAAACCCCAAAGACTTTTATGCACCCCCGAAAATTTTTTGGGGCAAAAAAATATTTCTGGGGCCCGTGCCATGAGTGCAATATGATAATTTTCATACAACAAGATTAAAACAAGTGCAGTACTGGTTGGAAAGATAACTCTGACTCATAGATAACCCCCGACACTTGGTTAAATTTTTTTATTTATCTTTTTTTTGTCAACAAGCAAGCACATGGTTACCTGGTAATAAAGGAGAAAGACAGACTGTGATGAGGTTTTTAAATTTGGTAAACTTTTAAATGAGCCGTGTCATTTCAAAACCAACATAGTGCGTTTGCGACCAGCATGGATCCAGACCAGCCTGCGCATCTGCGCAGTCTGATCAGGATCCATGCTGTTCGCTATCACTTTCTCTACTTGCTATGGGTTTGTAAGTGAAGCGGCATGGATTCCTTTGATCAGACTGCGTGGATGCGCAGAGCGGGCCCCCCTGGATGATGCTGGTCCCGGCAAACGCTATGGTTGGTTTTGTCATGACACGGCTCAAATGTGTTTTATGTTGATCCACAATACTGGAAACAAAATGGGTGGAAAGGCCCGGGTTGCATATGTATACAAATATCATGAGGCTGTGATGTACTAAATTTTTTTTCTACCACACCATGATGTTGAAAATTTAACTTAGTTGGTAACCGAAAAAAGAAATGAGCATTAGACCTAAAATGGAATCCCACATGGGTCACATGTCAATGCTGTGAACCACAATATCAAGAAGCTGTGGTAAGTAGTTGCTGACAAAAACTTTTATGAAATTTCCTACTATCTATTGTTCATTAATTATGTCAAAATTTAACTAAGTCGGCATACAGGAAGTTGTGGATGAGCAACAGACCTGAAATCGAATCCCACTGGTATGGGGACCATGCTGATAATACTGTATATCAAATAATCAAAAGGCTGTGATAAGTAGTTGCCAAGAAAATGTTACGAAAATTTCCTACTACTCTATTTGAACATTAATTATGTCAAAATTTAACTAAGTCGGCAGACAGGAAGTGGATGAGCAACAGACCTGAAATCAAATCCCACTGTATGGGACCATGTGATAATGCTGTAATCAAATATCAAAAGGCTGTGATAAGTAGTTCTGAGAAAACTGTTACAGAAATTTCTTACTATTGACCATTAATGTTGAAAATTTAACTAAGTTGGCAAACGAGGAACGTGGATGAGCGACAGACCTGAAATCAAATCCCACAGTATGGGACCATATGTTAATGCTGTATGCCAAATATTCAAGAGGCTGTGATAAGTAGTTGCTGAGAAAAACTGTTACAAAACTTTCCTTCCATTGAGCAATTAATCTAGAAAATTTAACTAAGTCGGCAAACAGGAAGTAGATAGCAAACAGACCTGAAAAATCGAATCCACAGTATGGGGACCATGTGTTTGATGCTGTATACAGTAAAAAACTCTGAAAACGGGAGTCCTCTCGGGACTTACCAACAAAGCCGGTTTTCAGAAGGATTCCCGTTTTCAGAGGTTTTATACAATTTATTGATAATTATAATGTGTTTGAACAATGACTTTGGTTAAAAACATTTTGTATTTACTTTTTTAACATTTTTGATTAGTCATATTTTTAATTTCTTTTAGCAATAAATGTCTTAAGTAATTTTATTATGCAAATCCATGAATATAATTCAGAAAATCAGAAATTGAAACAACACATTGTCTGAAATATATCTTTTTAATTGGCTTTTGAAATATGTAATTAATGGAATTTAGTATTACTATTTTTGCATGTAATAAATATCCAAAAAAGATCAAATATTTAGCAAAACAGGAGTTATTTTACAAAAGTTTCCTATTCTTTTAGACATTTTATATTTAAAGAAGAAAAAAACACAACACATTAAAAATATTTAGAAAAATCATACCTATACAGGAAAAGACACAATTATAATGAAAGAAGTCAATTTAATTGCCAATAAGAAATTAACACACACACACAAGTGTTTTCACACCTGCATAGATAAAAATGGTGACCATCAACTGGTAATTGAACATGTCACCTGTTTAGATTATGTTTAAATATACTTTAAAATAAACAGAAAGTTGACACTTAAAATAGCTGTCCGGTTTTCAGAGGATTTTTTAAGCATGTTTAGCATTAGAAGCCACAGAAAAGCGTCCGGTTTTCGGAATTCAGAGGTTCCGGTATTCAGAGGATTTTTTTCAATGAACATATAAGAAGAAAATACGGAACTTTTGAAATGGTCCGGTTTTCAGAGGATTCCGGTTTTCAGAGGGTCCGGTTTTCAGAGTTTTTACTGTACCAAATATCAAGAGGCTGTGATAAGTAGCTGCTGAGAAAACTGTTACCAAATTTCCTACTATTGACCATTAATGTTGAAAATTTAACTAGGTCGGCAAACAGGAAGTAGATTAGCAACAGACCTGAAATCAAAATCCACACAGTATGGGACCATGTGTTGAATGCTGTATACCCCAAATAACAAAAAGGCTGTGATAAGTAGTTGCTGAGAAAACTGTTTACGAAAATTTTCCTAAACCATGGACCATTAATGCTGAAAATTTAACTAAGTCGGCAAACAGGAAGTAGATTTAGCAACAGACCTGAAATCGAATCCCACAGTATGGGACCATGTGTTGATGCTCTGTATACCAAATATAAAAGGCTGTGATAAGTAGTTGCCTTGAGAAAAACTGTTACATGAAATTTCCTACTATTGACCATCATTAATGTGAAAGTTTAAAACTAGGTCGGCAAACAGGAAGTATTAATTAGCAACAGACCTGAAAATCGAATCCACAGTATCAGGGACCATGTGTTTGATGCTGTATACCAAATATCAAAAGGCTTGTGATAAGTTAGTTGCTGAGAAAAACTGTTACGAAAGTTTTTTCCCCGCCCCGCCCGCACCGCCTAACATTCACCATACTATAACCCGGGTTTGCACCAGTGCAACCCCGGCCAAAAACTGCCACAAAACGTTCTTTTTACTTAACTTCCGGACGGTAGTTAGTATCATCTCAAAACAGGTTACTGACATGTGAAAATTTCTTTAAAAAATAGTTAAATTATCAATTAGCAGGTCTTTGGAAAAGTGCTGCAAAGTCTGAGTCTTGTCAAAATCCACAACAGATAATAAGTACTACTGTGTGAAATGGTCAAACAATGTATTTCTGGTATAAATGCTTAAAGGTGTAGTAAAAATGCCAGATGATATGATTTTAAAGTCCCATAATGTATATGATTTTAAAGTCCCATAATGTATATGGGGTTTTTCTTTCTATATCAAAAGGATATTGTAACTTTACATCAAATACAAAATATATAGTTCTTGAAATCACCACTTTTACTCATAAGCCCCTTTCATCGTTTATGTATTTTGTGCTTTGCACATTTTTTTATATGGAAATTTAGTCATGACAACTAATGGTTATGACCTAAGGTGACGAGTGATACCTAAAATAGATAAAAAAAACATACAGTTTCAGGGAAGCAAAATCAATTGTCTACATTGCCCAGGAAATCTCTACAGCTGTTAAGGACAAGTGGAAATTTTCAGCATTTACTATATATCAATGTCACACGGAAAAGTTAAAACATGCTTCACATAAAAATGGACAAGTAAGTAAAAATCAGATTTTTGCCGGCGTTGCAGTTTTCCAATTGATAGTCAGGTTTGCAGGTTAAATGATATTGATTTAATGACACTATGAGCATGCAGAATCAAGAAAAATGACATATAACCCTGCCCGCTAATTAGCTTATGGGACTGGCCAGGTATTTCCTGTTAATTTTGTAAATTTGTAAGTGAAAAAAACATTGATTTTTTTTTGTTTTCATCTTATCAAAATTATATCTTTGGCTTAAATTTTTGTATTTTACATAATTCATGTACCATAAGTATGTGTAGAGGCTTTAAAATCTTATCATCAATTCTATGTGAAGAAGCTTTAATTGAACACTTATTTTTCAAAATCCAATAAGAGTTATAAACATAGAGGTGATTTAAAATATAGAGTATATGAGTCGCATCACAACAAAACCAACATAGTGGGTTTGCGACCAGCATGGATCCAGACCAGCCTGCCCATCCGCACAGTCTGATCAGGATCCATGCTGTTCGCTATCAGTTTCTCTACTTGAAAAAGAGTTGGTAAGGGAACAGCATGGATCCTGCTCAGACTGCGCGGATGCGCAGGCTGGCCTGGATCTATACAGGTCACAAACGCACTATGTTGGTTTTGTCGTGACGCGGCTCATATGTGTTTGTTTTGGAGATGTTATTTAAATATAAATGTGAACAAATTTTGGGCAATTTTAGAAACTATTCTGACATTTCTTGTTAACAACATGGGGGAAATTGCATACTTGTAGAAGATAAGAATGGGGTTGAGTTTCAGCTCCAAATAGTCCTTAAAAAACACTGAATGAAATTATGGATGACATAACACAAGGGACAAATATCCCAACAAATTGTGCGCTTTAGGGCTTTTTATTATTATATGGATGATAGTCGCCCTTTGCAAAGACAGACATCTATGAAATATCAGATTATAAAATTGGTCGGTCTTGCAGTCGAAATATTGAAACTGAATGGACAACATGCTATCACAAAAGCCCATCTCTTAGAGTGTTGTGCTCTTGAGTCAGAGTTAAAATTAAAACAATTTCTAAAATCACAAATCTCACCCTTAATTCTACTGGCAGAATTGTATTTTTTATTACTGCATTTAGCCTCATACGTTTAATATGCTTCTCAGTTAGAATCTTTCTTTTCATGTAGTCTTTCTTCATGCGCCAGTTTGTAAACCCATACCTAGAACCATACCCAGGCCAGCTGTATTCTGTTCGAACTTGTATATTTTGCAGTGTTTGTACAGGTTTGGCACACACCTAAAAATAATATAAACAAACAGACAGTTGACAGGAAATTTACTGAACTCGTATCAAGGTTTTCTGAAAATATTACAAATGTGAAAACAAAATACATCTGATCTACAAATTGCAAAAATTGCAAAAGTATCCCTAAAATGATCAAATTACAACAATGTTCACAACAATATGCGCCAGAGCACTTGAATACTGTCATTCTGTGAAAATTTGGTCGAAATGACTTGTGCGAAAATTGCCAAAATTCATAGATCTAAGAAGATGTGTAAGCGACCGGAAAGCTCATTCGGTAGAGCCCGCAGGTCCCAGGTTCTGGAGTCCTGGTCAAGCTGCATTTTTTTCTAACCCTGTGACAAAAATAAATTTGGACATCAGGGCCTGTGACATGCACAAGATTCATCACCTACTAAGGGACCAGACCGACATGTCGACTACATTTCACAATTTGACAAACACATAAAAAGTTCAATCCCCAGCTATGACCTTGAGCGAGTACTGCAAGCAACATGATTATATCCTCTACTTATGTTGGTCATATCATGTACAATCAACCAATTTATTTCTTAATCCCATCATGCATGCAAAAGTTATGAACAAGACACAAATTTAAGTTTCAAAGTTTATTTGTTCCATAGCAATTAACCATCTGGCTGTAGTGAAATTTACCATTCTACATTTTATTATCAAAATTTTATTTCACCAATGGGGGTAGTTAATCAGGGTCCTTTTTTTTGCCAGTGGTGCAAGACACTTAGAAAGTATTGCAGATGGGGACGGACATGTGTTGTAGGTTGCAGTTTTGACCTGTTTGTTGTCAGTATTGTCATTTCTTTCAATGAAATAGAGAGAATATATTGCTTTTGAGGAGATATTGTTGATGTGTTTGCACCAATTGAGATCGTATGGAATGTTGACTTCTAATTGTATGTATTTTGATTCTGTGGCAAATTTAAATTCAATGTTGTGAAGCCTACATGGGTAGATTGTCTCAGGGCCAAAACACCATTTTTGGGGACGGGGCCTCAGCCTTTTTCTTGGGGAAATTCCGAAAATATGTGTGATTTTGGCATACTTTGGGAAAAGGGGTCTCAAATTTAAAACAAACTTTAAACAAGTTCTTTAAAATAGAAAAGCAAAAAGCACTGGGAAATACTAATAAAACCTTAATTCAACACCATCATTTAATTTTGTTCTAAATTCTATGGGAAATTTCAAAAGACTGCTTACTGGGAAATTTTTATACTAGCCATGTCTGGTAGGCTCGTACTTAATTCACAGACTGCGGTATAATGGATGCCAAAAATAAGAATTAATTAAAAGCAAATTAATAAATTGAGACAGCAAGGAAAAATGAGCATATCATACAATTTAAAATAACTATGCATGTAGCCACAGGAACTTGAAATTCTATCAATATAAATGATAATATCCAAATATACCCCCTATATACTATAGTATATAGGGGGTCTATATACTATAGTATATAGGGGGTATATTTTGTATATTATCATTAATATTGGTTATTTGATAGAATTTCAAGTTCCTGTGATGTAGCAGTGGAAGGCAAAGAAAGAGAAATAAACATTTAACATACTTAAGATTTCGCATTTATCAGGCTTTAATACCTTATTAGACCAGACTGTTTACCATATTTCATGTTCTAAAGAGATACACGGTCATATTATATTTTGTTCCAGGACGTATTAAAAAAGTAAAGGTCAGGGTATCGCATTGTAACATGGCCAGCGATTGGCTGAAAAAAAGTGCAGGGAAAACCGTATGAGTCAATTTATACATGAGGTGATTGGATGGAAGTGGGGTATTTTTAAGTAAAAAAACTAATTTAAAAAGTAACACTACACTGTTTTCTGAAGAAAATGAAATATTTCATGAGTCTCTGTGCTAATTTTGACTTGGATATTTGCATTCATAAAAAGTGTATGTCAGTCCTGTGATCAGCAGAAAATTTCAATGAAATGGGGGGTAATCATCTCTGAAGTCATTTTGCAAAAAATTTGGTTGGCTACCCCTACATAACAAGAACATTTTCATGTGTCAGGCATTTCATTCTGCTAGAAAAATTAGCTCTTTAGCATGAAAACTCAATTTTAAGGTAGGATTATGGACCATTTCTTATAATGTAAGTCTATGGAAATATCAATGTGAGTGTCTGACCTAAAGACCCTGTGATAAAATATTTCTGAACATTTGATCGCGAAAAAAGGTGACAATTGAAATTTTGCTGTAAAATCTGTAAAGTTAGATCATTTGTATCAGTTTACCTGTTTCACTACTAAAGGATTTTGAAGAATCTGTAAAATTTTCAAGCTTTTTGACATTTTACCACCTAATAAACACGAATTTGATCATTTACATTATTAACCTTGCGACACTGTAATAATTCGTACCCATGTATTTTCGTACCTTTATAATCTCGCATCTTCGTCTTAATATAATAATTTATTTGAAGTAAGGCACAGATAAACTCAGATGTGTCTGAGATGTGGTTTTTACTAAAGAAAATAATTAATATGTAGATCTAGTGAAATTTAAGATTATCTTATTTCGTTTGCAAAGCTAACTGGAAATAAACTTGTCAGCCCATATTTATCTAATCAATAGAGCAGGGTAAATTGAAAATAAAAATGCTATTAATGTAAGCTGTCACTTACGTTGTTTACATCAAATAACCTTCAGATTTCTGAAATTGTGAATTTCCTTTTTTAGTTTTAGAATGTTCTTCATTCTGCCTGGTATATATAAGTAATAGAAAGAGCACCGAAACATGAGGCTATCAGATTGCCGAGTGTTTTGGTGTTCTTTCTTTTTTGTATCATAGTCAAACATAAAAACAAGTTCCCTGTTGTCACAATTTTAAACCCCGGGAAAAAGTAACCAATGATCGAGCATCTGAATATGATATTTCTGCCGCTTTCCCTTTCTCTGCCGCCACAATATGTAAACCCCAGCAAAAATAAGCCAATCAACGGGCATGATCTGGAGTGCGGGTAACTGATACCTGCACACCAGTTACCGCACTGTGCATGTATATATGTATACGATTTAACTCTGACACTTTTTCAACAGAAAGGTCCCCAAACTATGATACAATTATATATATATATATACATACATGCATACATGTATATGTCCCATAATGATATTCTTTTGATCGATCATTGTACGTATCTTAAATTTCTTTCTGTATTTTTCATTGTCGCCTTATAAAAGACAAAAAATATGTGCACAATTGAAAAAACGGATTGCCTTTGTTTATTTTCAGATGACTATGTTCGGTAAGGAGGTAAGTAATAGAAAGAGCACCGAAACACGAGGTTATCTGATTTGTACGAGGGGGCGTAGCCCCCGAGTATTAATCAGATTACCGAGTGTTTTGGTGTTCTTTCTCTTATGTATCATAGTCAAACATGACAGCACGATCCCTGTTGTCATAATACGAAACCCCAGAAAAAAATGAACCAATGAACGAGCATTTGAATATGATATTTCTGCCCGTTTCCCTTTCTCTGCCGTCACAATAAGTAAACCCCAGCAAAAATGAACCAATCAACGGGCATTATTTGGAGTACGGGTAACTGATACCTGCACTCTAGTTACCGCACTGTGCATGTATATGTATACGATTTAACTCTGACACTTTTTCAACAGAAAGGTCCCCAAACTATGATACAATTAATTATAATTAAGCCATTGAATGTCTGGTCTAAAATGTTCACTTCTTTAAAAAATTAATTAATCTTTCTCGATTTTTTTAACAGAAAGAAATGCATTGAAGTTAAGACGTTAACAAATTACGCCAACAATATTTCTATATTATCGATTTTATTTCTATCACCTTTTCTGCCTTTACAAACAGTTGGGTTTGAGAATAATTGATTCACGAAATTTTCGTGCATTTTCTTATATAACGCGGGAAAGTCATTATGCTTCGAGGACTCAAGAAGATTAGTGTGTAGTAAACAAAAAATGTTGACGAAAATCCGGAATGCGGTATTATTATTATTATCATTCTTTCTTTTTAAAAAAATGTCTTCTTTTTTTTACAAAATTAATGCTTATCTTCTTTCTTTTTTTTTCTCTTCTTTTTTTGGCACTCTCGTCCTATATAAATATGATGCAACTTTGTGATAGCAAAGCATAGTACTTTATGACAAGGGTATACGTCTAATATTTGCATTTACCCTTGGTGTAAATTTAATAATTCGAGCAAATGATTATTTCTTAAACAGTATTTGAATGTATTCTTTTATGGCACTGCATTAGAAACTCTGTATTATGTAGATTGATGACTTAGTGTTGCCGGATACGCATGCCTACGGAGAGAGCACATTTGCTGGCGAAACTAAGGCCCGGCATGGTTGTAACCTCAGAAGTTGTCAAGAAGGCACGTGACACTTGCCTATACCATTCATTGCTTAGAATGACCAGTGTTAACATGAAAATCCGGAAAATCGCAACTAAGGTTTGTCATATAATTATATTCATGATTTTGATTATTTTAAATAACGTTTCGTCTATACATTTTCAAAGTGTTTCACTGTGTTCATGCAAACATTTTGCCTGTTAAAAACAAGTTTTGCAATGACTGTTGGCAAAATAAATCTGCCTAGAATAATGAATGTTGCAAAATGAAGTTAATAACTCTATAACTATATTTTGTGTAGATTATGGTAGATGATAACCTGCATTATAAATTTCGTTTGCCACATTTAAAAAGGCTTAAGCCTAACCTTGATGGAACCACACCTGCTTAGTCTTTGCCACCAGTATAGATCCAAGCTTGCCTGCACATCCTTGTAGCCTGAATAAGCTCTCTGCTGTCGGCTGACTTATTTAAATATTCACCATAATAAGTCTTTGTGGGTTCGAATCCCAACAGAGACTTTGGATTCTTTTATGTGAGGAAGCTATCCAGCTAGCTTAGGGAACGTCGGTGGTTCTACTCGGGTGCCCGTGTCTGCCTGAAATAATGCACGAAATGGTACCGGAGGTCTTCCTCCACCAGTAACGCCGTGTCGATGTGACGTTAAATCCATTTAAATGGTTTCATGATGATGCAAACGATTAAATAAGTGCAATTTTAGAAATTGTTGTAAATATAACAAAACAGTTGCAGATAGTAAGGAAAGTATATTAATAATGGTAATTCGTCGAGTGTCTTAACAAGGATAACAACGAAAATGTCTCAATATTTCTAAATGTCTCTGATATTTCCTTCTGGTTTAGTTACTGTACATTTTGTATAATAGATTGTTTCAATGTAACTAAAATCAAACAAAATATAATAAACATTTTATTGTAATTTAGACTTTTCACTTTTCATTGTTTTTTTAAACATCCAACCCATTTTAAATTCGCACTTTTTTGTCACGTTCCATTGTTAGTGTTATTTTATTAATGGTTTTAAAGCTAGTTATTGCTTGCGCACGATAGTATTACGTATGTATAACTATTGCGTACGTGTCCACGCGATACATGCGCATGCGTAAATTGAAATATACCTATCGCGTGCACGCCTAATACAGGTACTAACGCATGCGCACGTGATACATTTGTGGCCACGTAATAACTTTCATGACGTGGTCACGTAGTAAATAAAAAAAACTTTCGTACCGTAGAATGGTGGTATAAATTAATATTTGTATGGACAAATGTCAGACGAAAGAGAAATCAATGTTTTCCGTCGTTTTAGAAAATCAGATTGGTAAATTGGTAGAATGTCATGTCGGCATTAAATATCAGCGAATTTTATTTTGGTAACTGGATGCGAGCGATAGACCAACAAGTCATATAAACACACTGCAATAAAATCTACAACTTGTGAGTGAGATACTGGAAGTAATCCGCTTTATTAAATAACATTCGACAGAACATGTACACGCATGGAAATCAAACTTACAAATGAATTTTGAATAAATTACGCAATGTATATATGTACAATTGTATACTCAAGTTTAACTTGAATTTGGATCACTTCTCAAAAGGCAAGACGTTTAAATTTGTACATGTAGATATTGACATAAACGTTGACTGTAAAATTTCTTTGTCTGACAAAGTAAACAATTGTCATGTATTACATGACTGGTTATATAAATTTTATGGTCGTAGTTTTATAAATTAATTACAGTAATGCAAGTCTCTGCTTTAATATATATATCTAGTTTAATTCAAATTAAGGAAAAATCATTAATAATTATTTAGCTTGGACTGAAAAGTTAATAAATTAAATGTACTGAAGATCGCCGAAAAATGTTGCCACATTTTTTTTTTAATTTAAATAATTAGAAATTATTTTAATTGTTGACTGCTCATACAGTGGAAATTAGCCTATCGCTTCTTGCAAAATAATGAATAAATCATTGCAGTCTAATAATAGTAGCTGCGTAATTACTACTCAGTTATTTAAATATATTGCATGGTCATTTGAAATCTTGATTATCTCCCGCGGAGAATATGACACAAGTTTCCTCTCTGGGACCCCACACCTATCGACTTTGACCGAAACGTTGCGGTTTGTTCAATGGTTCCTAAGCCGCCTGAAATTCGATGTGAATATAATAGGAACCAGCCTCACATCCTTGCACAATATCTCGAGAATGACGTCAATATCTCGACCCCTCTAGTAAAAGTATATATATCACGTGACTCTCCAAAATCTTTCCTTTTTTACTGCGGCGGCATATTCTGGTGCGTACAATAAAATTTTCTAATTTATATCGAAAAATATCAATGAAAGTTCGTATCATCTGACACTAATTTTTACTTAAAAACTTGGATTAACTCTTTTATATTTGTTTTGGTATGTTTATATTCGTACAGGATATGTATTTAACACAATATTTTTACTTTTTAATGTAGACGGTAGAATTTCATGACACGTAGTGAGTGATGCTCGCCATGCCGGCTTCAGCAACTGTTGTTTTTCTTTGTCAGTTTAAAAAGAATTCAGCAAGTGTTTGAAATATTTTATTTTTGAAAAAGTAATCTGAATTTGAATTGTTAGTCCATATGGTCTAACGGTTTCATAATTGTACATTTTAATGTCTTTATTCTGGGTAACATGCCGGCATATGTCACGTGCGTTTTCGGGCGTTAATATATCAGTTGAACAGGAGATTCGGTTACTTTAAAACGATTAAATATTCAGATTTCTGCATTGAATGATTTTTTATGGTTATTAAATATATGGTGATAATTCACCGAGTCACGTGAAGTCTTGTCTGCCCATCCTTTGCGCAGGAAGCTGTTCTATTTCATTTCTGCATTTATAATGTTAGAAGACCTAACCAATTATAGTGTAGAGAGTAGGATATTATTTAGATCTAGTTTACCTTGTATATTGACTTAAGTGCGTGCTGATTTATGTAAATTTTGAGATTGACATGTGGCATTTTATTGGGATATTTATTATGTAAATGCACACGTACCCCCCTCCCCCACTTGAAAAAAAGATGGGAAATAAGGAAATGTTTTTAACTTAATCTTTCAATGTAAATGATGATTGTTTATGGTCTTTGGTGAACATTTTGGCTAAATCCTTTTTCTTTGGAGGACAGCCAAATTGCAAAATCTATTTAAACATTGAACAATAGATGGATCTTTCATGTTCAGGATAATTATTTGTATATATGGTCAATAAGGAAATAATTGGCTACATCCATTTTTGGAGGATAGCCAAATTTGAAAATTTATCTAAACGCAGAGCAATGGTTGCATCAGTCTGATCAGATTTTGATTTTACCTTTAACCTGGGTGTGATATACATTTCAGACTGATATTAGCCAAGCATCAGAACAATCTCAAAATGGGAAAAGAAAAGATCCACATCAACATTGTCGTGATTGGTCACGTCGACTCTGGCAAGTCAACAACCACAGGTCACATGATCTACAAATGTGGTGGTATTGACAAGAGAACAATTGAGAAGTTTGAGAAGGAAGCAGCTGAGGTAAAGATTAATTAATTAATTGATAATTTCCAGACTGTATGGACATGTTTCTGTTGCTAGGAATAATAATTATTTTAGAACTTTGTGATCAAGATCTCTCTCTCTATCTCGATATAATTATGATTGGTTGAATGGAATTAATGTATTTATCAGCTTTCAAACTCTTGTTTATACACTGTAGAATGAAATTTGTTTACTTCTCTTTGCATGTTTAGAAAATATATTTTATTAATGAGTTAACTATCTTATTTTACAGATGGGCAAAGGCTCCTTCAAGTACGCCTGGGTGTTGGACAAACTGAAGGCAGAAAGAGAACGTGGTATCACCATCGATATTGCCCTGTGGAAATTTGAGACCACTAAATACTACGTCACCATTATTGATGCCCCAGGCCATCGTGATTTCATCAAGAACATGATCACAGGTAAATGAGTGCCAGTTGTAGCTTTTGACTGTGTATAGAAATACTGAAAATGCCTAAAATAAAACCAAAGATTCTGTGAGATGAAAAATGTGAAGAAAATGGTGCATGAGTTGATATAAACTTAAGTATATTGTTGAAAAACTATAAACTGTAAATATACGTCGCATACAGAAAAGATTATATTAAGTTTTGAGGTGGTCTTTTGTAATGACTGTCCAGGGTGTTTAGTTGTTGAATTTTTTTCTGCACTTGAGACATGGTATACTTCAGTTTGCTTTGCTCATCTTGGCAAGGTTGATGCAATTATTTGCAAGCCAAGAATTAACATTATTGTACTTGCAGTACTGGTAACTCTTTTAATAGGTGTACTTGAAATTATGTGTATATTTTACTGTAGACCAGTACTTTTCAGGAATAGCCTGTACTGTCCACAGAAAAAAATTGATTGGGAATATTGCACTGCAAATATGTTCTTTTTTTAAAAGTTGGTATGGTGTTCTTTTAAAAGTTTGTATTTAATTTGATATTTTTTCCTTTCAGGAACATCCCAGGCCGATTGTGCTGTCTTGATTGTAGCTTCTGGTACTGGTGAATTTGAAGCTGGTATTTCTAAGAACGGTCAGACCAGAGAACACGCTCTGCTCGCTTTCACTTTGGGTGTGAAACAGCTCATTGTAGGTGTCAACAAAATTGACAGCACTGAACCACCATACTCCGAGGTAAATTTTGATGCTAGTAATAATGAACCATACAATGCAGTCATTTAATGTCAATGTGGTAGTCTAGATATGCAATTTTGTGTATCTACAGAAATTGGTTTAACGTTGTTTTAACTTAACAATTGAGCATTTAAAGGCAAAATTAAAAATATAGAAAAAAATGAGAAATTAAAAAAATTGCAATTAAAATTCTGATCTTAAAATCCTACATGAAAATTATTTCTATTTTCAGAAAAGATTCCTTGAAATCACCAATGAGGTATCCAATTACATTAAGAAGATTGGTTACAACCCTAAAAATGTTGCTTTTGTGCCAATTTCTGGCTGGCATGGAGATAACATGATTGAACCATCCAGTAACATGACTTGGTACAAGGGGTGGTCTGTAGAGAGGAAGGAAGGAAATGCTTCTGGAAAGACCCTATTTGAGGCTCTTGATTCCATCCTTCCACCAGCAAGACCAACAGACAAGGCTCTACGTCTCCCACTCCAGGATGTCTACAAAATTGGAGGTAAAAATATGGCCTTTATATTTGATGACAGAAATATTGTTAATTATTACAGGGCTTTTAAGCTTCACTTTTTAAAAGATAAATGTGGATCTATTGTAAAGGTTATTGACAGCATTGATTAAACCCATTCATGTAGGATTTCTCAAACTAATAAGAATTGCAATGTTTGCCATTCCAAAGTGCCAATAGTAAAAAATTATATTTGCAAAAGAGTATGTCCCTTTTCCTCGGTGGCTTTAAATATTCAGCACTGAGAAAACTGGATTGACATTGACTGTTGACATCTTTATTTTAAATTAGCACAAAATTGACTTGTTGATCGTTTAAAAAAACAAAACAATAAGACTTCAGAGAAGAATAGATTGGTGAAATATGGTGTGAATTTTTGAAGTTTTGTACATTGTTCTAGTACAAAATGCTCCAGCACCAATGTGTTATAATGAAAGAATCTTAGCAGCGGATACGAGTCGAGAGATGGAGGCCATTACGACTATAATGTTTTTTAGTAGTAAATTAGAATAACTTTAATTATAACATTTCTTATAATTGATAATTCATTTATGATTTGATAGGTATTGGAACAGTGCCAGTAGGTAGAGTTGAAACTGGTATTATCAAACCAGGAATGGTTGTTACCTTTGCTCCTTCCCAAATCACCACTGAAGTTAAGTCTGTTGAAATGCACCACGAGTCCCTCCCCGAAGCTGTACCAGGAGACAACGTTGGCTTCAACGTGAAGAACATCTCCATCAAGGACATCAAGAGAGGAAACGTTTGTGGAGACTCCAAAAATGACCCACCAAAGGGAGCTGCAAGCTTCTATGCCCAGGTAATTTCTTCTTTGCCCAGATAATTTTATCAATGTTACTTAATTTAAAGGCACAGAAGTGCAGTTTATTCTGGCTTCACACAGCTATTGTAAGATAGTGAGAAATTGCAAAAAGAAAATGTTATCTGATTAATCGAGATTTGTTTCATGATAACACTTGTGTTTTATACGTGTTCAAAAAGTTTGTGAACTTGGGCCTGATGGTGAAATAAGCCAGGCATGTTCCCTTGCTTGAAGCCTACTTTGCCATTTTGCAACACTTGTCAGCAGGCACTTGTATAATATTGCTACCAAGCACAGAGTAACATACGTGTTAGGCACATGTAAAAATGTAAGGAAGCTTTCATTTGAATTTGTTGGTGAAAGTGTTGTGTGTAGGTCACACCCGTAAAATTCAGTACAAACTGTAATTTAAAATAATTGCTAGAGTGATAAGTTGAATGCGTTTGTGTGATTAATGTTTTCATCCATTGTTTCACTTGAAAGCAGAGATGGTAATACCATTTTAAATTGGAAGTATTTTCTGTATTTCTATAGTTTTGTGTTCTTTATTCTTAAAGGTCATCGTTTTGAACCATCCTGGAGAGATCAAAAATGGATACGCACCGGTATTGGATTGCCACACTGCCCACATTGCTTGCAAATTTGAGGAGATCAAGGAAAAGATCGATCGTCGTTCTGGAAAGAAATTGGAAGACTTGCCCAAAGCAGTTAAATCTGGTGATGCTGCTATGGTCACATTGGTACCAAGCAAGCCTATGTGTGTAGAAGCTTTCTCCAACTACGCTCCACTTGGACGTTTTGCTGTACGTGACATGAGACAGACAGTGGCTGTTGGTGTCATCAAGGAGGTTACTAAGGTTGAAAAAGAAGACAAGAAAACCAAAGCTGCCCAAAAGGCTACAGGAAAGAAGAAATGATTATTAGAGACCTTAGGAAAGAACTGTGGACTTCATTTAGAACACTTACAGCTATGCCGCCATAGTCCACAGAATTTATTTAAACATCCAAGAAATCACTCTGAAATAAAGAGTGGTAACAGCTTTTGTTTTAAGTTCTTACCAGATAAGTCGCTTCTTTTTAATTTCTGGACTACAATAATACATAGATATCACATTCATCGTAAAGAAATACGAAGGAAAAAACTGTTAATGGCTAATTATTATTTAATTTAAGTAAGTTTTTTTAAAGTAATGCTTTTAAAAAACTGTAAATTAAAAAAAAAAAAATCAGAAAAGACAATTTGTTGTTTGTTTCTTTAGGTTTTAATTAAGTGAGAAGTTTCATGGCATTATTTCCAATTTATTGGAGATGAAAAGTAGAATATTTAAATTTGAATGCATAGGACTACTTGAAACAGTATCTGTAAAACGTCGAAAAGTGTTGTATCATAATATGATGCAGTTGATTAAAATTTAGTTGCCCCACCAACCTGATGCCAACTTGTACTTAAAGCAAACTACATCTGATGGTTCCTGAATTCAGAGTACATACATTCAATCGAAATGTCTTTGCTTAGTAGTAAAAGTTAAGGCTGCTGGATAAATGTTCCTTATGCGTTCTTTAAAAAAAAAAACCCCTTTTTTTTTGTTATTTAAACTAGTAATGTGTAGTGAAATAATGGAATTAATTAAATAATATAGGTCTCGCATTTAAATAAATGTCATGTAAGGTAATTTGTTGCTTGTGATAATTATTTACCGAACTTAAATGAAAGTGTAGATTGCATACAGGTTGTGTGGTCTGAAAAAGATGGAATTTACTATGAAGAAATTGTGGAATTTCAAAAAGTTTTTAAAAGCCTATAAGAAAAGGCATCTGTATTTAAAAGAAACTAGCGAAGATTTTATGCAATACACAAAATGGCTGCAAGGGAATGGTCCACTGTGCACTACATTCCTGAAGACTATCTTGAAGGTCATAGATTTGCGCAGTGATTAGATTGAAATGAAAGGTGAAGCATTGAAGTCGTGACAATTCCATTACAACCATACTAGTACTCCCTAGCTTGACTTTGAAGAATAAAATGAGAGGTCATTTTACCATGATACTAGTAGTGCACCGGTTACTAGTTAAAAATGACGTCTCCTTAAATACTTGCAAACATATGCGATTTAAGTACAGCTTAAAGTTTATTAGTATGTGTTTACAAAATTAAATCTGTCAACCATGAGACCAAGTTTATTTTGTAAATATGTACTACTAAATTTTAACCAGCTTGGGTTTTTTTTTATGCCCCCGCCATGTAATGGCCGGGGCATATAGTGTTACCCTGTTCCATCATTCCGTCCTTCTGTCCTTCCATCCTTCCGTCATTCTGTCATTCCGTCATCATCAGTTTCCGTTCATTATCTTAAGAACGGTTGCACACATTCAACTCAAATTTGACATATGGATATGTCATGAGAAAATACAGGTCAAGTTCGAATTTAGTCATGGTTCGATGATTTTTGGCAGAGTTATGCCCCTTTTACTTTGAAAATAATATGAAATTTCAGTTTCCGTTCATTATCTCCCAAATGGTACAACACATTCAACTCAAACTTGACATATGGATATGTCATGAGAAAATACAGGTCAAGTTCGAATTTGGTCTTGGTTTGATGATTTTTGGCAGAGTTATGCCCCTTTTACTTTGAAAATAATATGAAATTTTCAGTTTCCGTTCATTATCTCCCCAAAAGTACAACACATTCAACTCAAACTTGACATACGGATGCGTCGAAGGAATGCGCAGGTCAAGTTCAAATTTGGTCATGGTTCAATGATTTTTGGCAGAGTTATGCCCCTTTCACTTTGAAAGTAATATGAAATTTTCAGTTTCCGTTTATTATCTCCCCAATGGTACAACACATTCAACTCAAATTTGACATATGGATATGTTTTTGGAATGCCCAGGCCAAGTTCGAGTTTGGTCATGGTTCAATGATTTTTGGCAGAGTAATGCCCCTTTCACTTTGAAAATAATATGAAATTTACAGTTTCTGTTCATTATCTACCCAACAGTGTTACATATGCAACTTAAATTTGACATATGGATATGTCAAAGGAATGGGCAGGTCAAGTTGGAATTTGGTCATGGTTTGATGATTTTTTGGCAGAGTTATGTCCCTTTCACTTTGAAAATAATATAGATACATCTTAGGAATAAGCAGTTTAAGTTTGAATTTGGTTGTAGTTCAATGATTTAAGACAAACTTATCTTTCCTGAATGTTGGAAAAATTTTGAACTTTCACTTTCAGCACTCATTATTTTGGCTACAAATATGCAATATGCTATTTTTAAAAGGTTTAGACTGAATAATTTCAGTGCCTTGAACATTGTATGAAAATGGTTTGTGTTAACATTGAAAAGTTTTAAGGGCTTTGAACTTAAAATGAAAAAAATAATTAAAGCACCATCTGAAATTTTGGCTGCATGCGGGGGCATCCGTGGCATGATGACACATTTCTAGTTAATTAATTATATCATCAGTCTAATAGACTGTTTAACAGAATGCTGATATGAGAGAGTAAATGTGAAATACTGCAGTCCTGTTGGACAAAAAATTTCAAACCCTAATGTTGATATATTTCACACTATGAAATGATAATAAAAAAGTTCTTTAAAAATGTCGAACTGAACATTTACACAATATTTAGGCAACGCTGGCTGGTCAGTAAAATAAAGACGTTTTGGATAACATCAGTACAACAAAAGAATTATTTTCATACAGGGAATCGTGTGAAATTGAAGATTATTAAACAAATTGAAACCACTTGCTTGAACCCAATTTCTGTATTATGAGTTGATGACATGTTTGTCAATGGTTTTAATTTAATTAGTAATTTATCAATGGATTATCTTCATACTTGGACAAGACCTAAAAGATTGAACTGACCTTGAGCTTTAAATGACCGCCAGGTCAAATTACTGAATTTTGGTTAAACTGTCGTGATTTTATTAAGTATGGATTTGATTTCATATACATTGTCACTTCCATATTAATACGGATATTTCCATTGAAGCATATTAACACTTCAAAGATAATAAAATTTTAAAGTATATAATAACCAAACTGGTGCACCAATTAAAATTCTGACAATTTCAAAGCCCTATGTTTATTGTTTAACGGGCTTGTTAACTCACTAAATCCGTAATTGGTAGATAATGCAGTGAAATCTCTTAGAAAAAATCTGAAAACATGTTTACAGTATTTTGCCTCTCAAAAAAGTGATGAAAATTTTTTATTGTTAAGGCCATCCTTAAAAAAATGTTTGTTTGCAGTAACGCGACCGACTCACAAAATTTACCCGTACTCAAAGTTTATTTCATGGTCTGGATAAAAAATTATTTTTTTTGAATCGGAAAATTATGCCTTGTGCTTTGTTTTCGTTCTTTTAAAGGTTAATAGAAGAAATAAAATGTAGGTCTTATTAAATTAGAATTCACTTATCAATTTATTAATTGTTACCAGATTATCAAGGCATATATTGTCCAGCATTTTGAAATTCCATGTTTATTTGGGAGTACAGTTCAATAAAAAAAAAAAAATCGACCTACCTACCCACCTTGAAAATTCTGGGTCGGGTTACTGCACACAAACATTTTTTTAAGGATGGCCTAATTCTTTAAAGTAAATATAAATAATTATCAAGCCATAGTCGATCAAAGCACAGAATGCGCTGAATTTGTTTGGGTCTCAGAATGTAAGAAAGGTGCAGGTTGTGAGATTATAAACCAATTTGTTTTTGTATAGTGCCACCTATGCTTTCCAGCGTTTTAATTGTAGTAAATTGGCTATAAGACTAATTGCAACACTGATATTCAATCCAATGTTTATTTGACTTAAACAATTTGAAAACAAGGGTGCCATAGTCACAAAATACGCCCGTTTACGAAAGCTTTAGATGGAGATGGGGGCATTATGGATAAGTGTTATCTAGCAAGCAAGTTTTTATTCTTGGCACTGTGTTGTTAAATGAACCTTAAAACAAATCAGTAGGGAATATATGCACAGGATGTGTGACCTTGACCTTGGGTCGCAGGGACCTGAATTTTATGCACGGCACTCAGCCTCACAATGATGAACATTTGTGCCAAATTATATTGAAATCCCTCTGCATGTAGAAGTTTTGCTCCAGACAAGCGTTTTTCTGTGAGCTCTAACTGTGACCTTCACCTTTGACCTAGAGACTTGGTTCATGTGCAGGGCACTAACGTCTCACGGTGGTGAACATCTATAAAGTAAACATGTAGAAAATATATGCTCCGGACAACATACTGGATATTTAATCATTTCCAGTGACCTTGACCTTGCAAATATTACCTAAATTAAATGTGATCACACCTGTAGTCATGATAGTTTCCATTTGTGCTACAAATCCATCAATAAATGATGACTAAATGGTCCCTATACACATCTTTTTATCTTATTAAATAATTTTTATCTGAACTTTGACCTCTATGTGTAACCTTGACTTTGGTCGCAGGGATCTAAATTTTACGTGCGACACTCCGCCTCACAATGGTGAACATTTTTGCCAAGTTATATATTGAAATCCCCCTATGAATGTAGAAGTTTTGCTCCGGACAAGCGCTTTTCAATGAGCTCTGAGTGTGACCTTTGACCTTTTTGACCTGGATCATGCATGGAGCAATACCTATCATGGTAGTGAACATTTCCATAAAGTATTATAATAATTCTTCAATACATGTAGGAGATATGCTCCAGACAAATTCTGGATATTTCACCATCTTTAGTGACCTTGACCTTGCATATATTGACCTAAAGTTCATGTGTCACAGCCGTAGTCATGCTAATGACCATTTGTGTTACAATCCTCAATAAATGATGATTAAATCGTCCCTATACACATCTTCATATTTTTATCTAAACTTTGACCTCTATGTGTGACCTTGACCTTGGCTGCAGGGGACCTGAATTTTGTGCGCGACACTCCGCCTCACAATGGTGTGAACATTTGTGCCAAGTTATATTGAAATCCCTCTATGCATGTGGAAGTTTTGCTGCGGACAAGCGTTTTTCAATGAGCTCTTAGTGTGACTTTGACCTAGAGACCTAGTTCATGTGCATGACACGGCTTCTCATAATGGTGAACATTTCTATGA